GAGAGAGGAAGGATAAGAACTAATTAATTTTTTCAATTAATTAATAAAAAATATCCTATGTTATATAATTTAAAAAAATAGACTACTAAATTCTAAGAAGAAAAAATTATAGTATGTTTTATACTTTTAAAAATATTGAAAAAATATTAATCAAGGCATAGTTAATCAATAACCTTTTATATTATCTTTGTGTATCTTTCACGTCCTCTCTGAAAAGGTAAGTTTTTGTTAGATTGGGTAGAAAAACCTATTTATCTCAGTACTTGTATTTAATAAATGACTAATTTGTTTAATTAAATTACTTGTGTAACTATTTTGACCAAAACAATAAAGATATTCATGATAAATTTCTGATATATTCTATACCAATAAAAATTGTCTAACAATGCCAGTTTTAGGTACTATTACCAATATAACGTTAAAAAACTTGATGAACCATAGTCTCTAATATATTTTTAAGTATTATTAGGCACTTAATACAAATTATTATTAAAAGTTAATTTAAAGCCCAATAAATCTATATATATATTCCATGGGTATTATTGAAAATACAGCATTTAAAGCATTTTAAAGCAATTTAATTTAAAGCAATTTAAGCATTTTTTAACTAAGAATTTTATAGTAAAAATAAAAAAGGTCGTACAATTGCACATTTTAGTGTCTTCCTAAATTCTGTCACACGTACTGGTTTCTACAACAAACACTAAACAATATTGTTTAGCTTAGAATAAAATTAACTTGATTAAAATACGCGTTTTAATTGATTTGTATCGATTTAAATAGATTCGTAACTCAACTAAACGTAAAAAATTAAAAAAATACTCTGCATTAGGTAAGTAATAAGTAGCGCCAAAAATTATATATACTTCCATAATATAAATCTGATTCATACCACACTTGAATGTTTGTATACATTTATTACTAAATCGATTTAATGTTAATACACACATTAAAGAGGTTTTATGATAATCAAGTTTAATCAGTTCAAGTCGGATGACGAGCGAAACATTTATGATTGAGTGCTGGCGGAAGGCGTGCCACCGGAGCGCGACAACGATAACCGATCCCTCGGCTACCCACAGGATATCTCCCCGTGATATCATCGACAAGTATTCCCCAAGGTCCTCTGGCGCAACATGTTAAATGAAACTGTTCAATAAAACTACACTGTTGTTGCGCGTAAACATATAATAATATGGGGTTCGATACTGGTCCCAAAAGCCGCTTAAAACTAAAGAATATATGGCGATATATTGTCGAGGGAGACGTAGGTACGATCAAAAAAGAAGACTGAAATATATCAAACCAAAAATATGACCCGTCAGTTAAAACAGTCCGTATCATAATGTGAAAACTATAGGGCCAATGACCTATAACAATACAATACCAATGAGTTTCATTGACCAAGTTAGACCAACGAATCAATGGTAAATCGATATTGGAGGGAGGGTTACAAGTGAAGACGTGGTATCTTTGAAGAACTATATAGTTCAACAAACTAAAAAATAATGTTAAACTAAATCTATTTAGTAATTTCAATTGGTATTATAGTTAAGCCAATTATATAAAATAGTTTTTCTAATTAAATAATTGTGTTATCGTGAACATTTTACCACTCGCTATAATATATGTTTTTCTATGAATATCAATTTAAACAATCGAAGGTAATAAAAAATTGTAGATTGATTTCAACGACTTGCAATTCACGTGTACAAATGTGAAATATGTTCTTTCCACTATTTTATTTAGCCTCTTTAATTTGATAAATCTATAGTAGTTGTGTAAACCGAATGTAAATAATGAATTAATTTATACAGATTTTATTAGTTGATGGCTTATTAATAAATATTATTAATATATGGCTACATTAATATTGATTATTGAAATACAAATTCGATTATTTCTCATTATATTGATAAAATATTTTTCAATTTTAATAATAATATCGAAAATTGATATTCAATTAGCACCAGTAGCGCCGATCACCTTTCGCATTATGAATGATATATGTTATAGTAGTTTTAAGGTGTGAATAACCTTTATTTTCCACAAAAAAATTTAGGTGCGTTAGTGTTATTGTCAATTTTGATAGGCGAGGAGATGATTTGGTTAAGTGGGTACAAGAACATGAGCGATTTGAAAGTTTTTAAATTTCCATTTTCTTAGTAATTTTGTTGCATTTGGGTGGCACTGAGTATCTAGCTTCAATTTATATTATAAAATCGTTTTCATTTTGTCTTAATTTCAGTTAGCATTTTAAATCTGTTATTGAATTAAAAAACTAAAACATTAAAATTTTATTATAACTGATATAAAAATATCTAAATAAAACCTCATTCCATCACGTGATTATTTAAATAAAAGAATTTTAATAAATATTATGTTAATTATGAATAATGCCACAGAATTCAATATTTATTAATACATTATACAAATATTTTTTACTAGAATAGAAACATAAATTAAAATAGAAAAGTATCTTTGATTTCTAAATAATATTTTATGAAATTTAAAGTAGATATTTTTTTATCGTGTTACCAACAAAATTATTGTAGAAATAGTTTACTTTTTAATTGTAATTTACATAAAATAACCTAAAAGAAAAAGTATGAAAGCTGGAGAGCATAGTGATGAAATGAGTTTGATAGATACACAATAAGCATAAAATGATGATTTAATTGAACTATGCATTTCTTCTCAGTTATTACTAAGGGTCGGTAAATATTCTTTTAAAACAGCCAAAGTATGACGATAATATTCTCTTAAAAAGTTTAAAATATTCTTCATATAATCTTTAAAAATCAATAAAATATTCTAAAAATATTATTTTATTAAAATATATTCTCTTAAATTAAGAGTAAACTTTTATAAGCATAATAATAAATTAATAACCAAATAAGTTTCTAATTTAATAAATAAATTAACATACAAAATTAATTTTTACTTTTAGTTTCCAAAAAAATTATTCTATCTAGGAATATATTTGAACAGATAAAGTAAACTCGAAATAATTGTTAAATTTTTAAAATTATTTTAATAAATTACCTTTTTTTTCTTAAACAAATTCTAATTGTGTAATAAATTATTACACTACAACAAAAAACTAAAATTATATCATATTAATCAATATATTCCTTTTAAGCGAAATATTCTTTTCAAATATTTTCAAATATTAAAAAAAAAAAAAAATTACTATTATAAAAATGTGTTTAAAATTCGTTGAGATTTTTTTGTGAGTACCCCATAAAAATATACAAAAAATTAGATTTCTGACCTCTAATTATTACTAATAATGTAAAGATTGTGTTAAATAAAATCAATTTTAAATTATCATAAGTAAAAATAGTGTTGAGCTGCTTAGATTTCTAGAAGAAATTTTTTTTTTTACTTAATATAGTAATATTACCATTATTAATGTAATCAACTACTATACAGGGTGGCCCACCACTCACTGATAACTTAAATAACTTTTGATCCAGTTAATATTTTTAGTTGATTTTTTTTTTAAATTAATAGGTATACGTTAGGTCTATAGCTATATCTCAATAATTAATTTTTTATATACGTTATTATAAAGTGTTCAGTAAGTAAGGAAACGGGTTTCTATTGTTCTCGTTGTTTGTAACAATTGACCTGTTTCCTTACTTTTTAAACACCTGTATATGTTNACAAACTTCAAAACGCTACAGAATATTTACTACTGAATATTAATAAGATATTTTTTTACTAAAATTTTTCTTAAATTCTACTCTACAAAATAGCTATCTTAGATTTTTTTTTTACATTTTATTTAAAATTTAAAAATAATTAATATTTTTAATAAAATGTAAAAAAATTAATTATTGAGATATAGCTATAGACCTAACGTATAATTATTATTTAAAAAAAAAATCAACTAAAAATATTAACTGGATCAAAAATTATTTAAGTTGTCAGTGAGTGGTGGGCCACCCTGTATACTACTTACTATGTAAAATAATGGTTATTATTATACATTAAATATTCTATGCAATAATGTATAGCATCTTATTACTACACTTACCTTGATAATATGGTCCAGATTATAAATTCAAAAGTTTTTGGTTTTGTTTGTAGTGATTGGAACGATTAATACTAATAATTATTAATGAATTTACACTAATAATTAACGTTAACTATTTAAGATAAATTTGAACAGCGTTTCAGATAATCTCAGTATCTTTTATTTTTATTACTTTACGTGTTGGTAAAATTATGTAGTATTAAAAATTAAAATTACTTGATAAATGCACTTGCAGAATCGTGTAAAAATACATTCCAAGTAATCAAGAATAAAAATATGTGTATTTATAGATAACGGTCCTCAATTGACTTGCTAGTTGACAGGGTTTTCTGTATTATGCCTTTATTTCAATTAGCACTAACCAGTGATAAACATGTTTTGCTACTGAATGGCAATAAATTCAAGACAATTATAGACGTTCGATCTAGTTAATTTTTTACTAACATTTATCATCATTTTTAATATAATACAATTTTTGGCGTAATAATATAGTTATATGTGCGTAAAAAATAGTTTAAACTACCTTTAAATAATGACATTCGTAACTAGAATTCAGGGTAAATTAAAAATGGGCACGGCCAACCATACTAGGCTCATACATACACATAAATAACTGTTATTATTTTTATAGTTTTTGATTGAAATTTAACTAACTTCATAATAAAGAAAACATACATAAATATCACATTAATATAATTGATTATATAATTTTTTGTTTAATAATACAAATTTAGTACTGTAAAAAGTATAATTTTAATAATTACAATGGAAAATTAATTGTGTTATAGATCTTATAAAAATAATAACACATTTTTTTGCAAAACAATAATGTATAAAATAGAAGCAATATAATGGATTACAATGTCTATGATATTAACATTAGTATCATTATATGCCTTAATATACTTTTTATTGACTCATTACACAAATAAATTTGCAGTTATATATTTGTATATAATCACTCAATAATAAGAGTTACATAATTAAGTCAAAAGCATTAGCCAGAACTATGGTCATACAAAACCATGTATGCTGTAATCATCATGATTAAATTTTTGTATACATAAAAAATATAAATAGTTATAATACATAAAAAACAAGTATAATTGTTTTTATCATAAACAAATAAAATGGGATTTTTAACTTTATATATGCTAAAAAGTTATTAAAAAAATTTATTTAAGGTTATGTTTGATAAAATTTCAACAAATATTTTTAATTTCTGCATTCATATAAATTAAAACATAAATTGAATTTGATGAAACAAGCTATTTTAATATGGCACATAATTACATAATTTGATTTGTTTACATTGGCCACACTTTTAATATCATCAATTAAATAAGTACAATTATTTGGCAAGTTGATGAAAATAACTATTAACAATAATTACAAATAATGTTTTGATAATAATAACTCAACCATCGGAAACTTCATAAATATAAATGCACATGAGATATACCCCTGCCAAATTTTCGAAAATACATTAATTATAAAATAATAAAAGTAATATAAATAAATATGAAAATAATTCAATGCTAATAATTTAAAATATACAATAGAAAAATAATCCCAAGTCTAAATTTGATATTTATATGTATATTGTTTCATTCTCATAAAACTATAATTAATGAAAACACTTAAAATATTTGTTGGAAAGACTAAAAATAAATAATAAGATTTGAGATCAAAATTAAATTATCAATTATCACACTTCAGATGGTCCCAAAATAGACGAGCTGCCAAAGGGTATAGCCATTTTGGGTAATGATAACTTAGAGTGTTTAGGACTAGTCTTAGAAAATGACATATTGCCCGTCTCTCCAAACATTTTGCGAAAACTGTAAAACAAAATTTAATCAATGAGATTTATTAATAATATACAATTTATTACATAACAATATAAATAAAAAAAAAAAGAATATTAGGCTAGTTTATCTTTAAATGGACATTTTAGATCAAAATCATAAATTAGATTTTAGATGAAAACATAAATAAATAGAAAAATTAATTAACATTTTTTTTTTTTTTTTTTAACTAGATTTATACATAATATTTAATACTTCTTATAATAATTTTTTAACTTCTTGAGTTAATAGCCTATAAAATTGTACTTTTATCTTTTTTTTTCTCAATTTATAAATATTTTTTCGTGATATTCTATAGATTACTTAGATAAATATTGTATATGTTAACTAATATGTCTTGGCATAAAAACCAAAAGATTCTATCAGTTATGGACACTGTGTATAATATAGAACCTTTTAGTACACAGGATGCAATATATAGTATGTAAAATATTTGTATTTTATAATGGTGTTCCAGTATGCTCTATCAAGTCTTTCCACTTTTACGTCAATTTATAAATAAAGCTAATTTATTTTAAATAATTATTAGATAATAATAATGTTACAGTTTAATAATAAACTATATCTGATTATTTATTTTATTAAAAAAAAATATAAATACAAATAAATATTTTAAAACATTTATAAACATTTTTTTAAAACTTAAATATGATCGGAAAGTATATTTTAAGAATAGAATGTATTGCTTGATAATTAGTACTATATGAAAATGATGAACTTTTCTGTTTAATTTAAAATTAAAATAAAAAAAATGTTTAAAGCAGAATTATTTAATATTTATTTCAAAACTTACAATTTGCGTATACCCGATTCTGATCTCTTCCATGGTGCATCATCTGGTTCGAGAGGTAAAGGACCTTGAACAGGTCCTTCTTCCAGTTCATCATCAGACCTAATAAAATAAATTAAAAATTTTTTATAAAATGTAAAAAAGAAATAATGTGTAAGACAACAATGTAATATAAAAAGAGTACTTAAATTTTACAAACATTCAAGTTTAAACAACACATTAATTATGTTGCTATATAACATTTAAAAAAATTTCTTAATAAAATATGAAAACATTTGATATCATTAATAGAATAATTCAATAAAATTTTGGTAACTGTGAAATATTGAAGGCAATAATATGAATTCAATTAAATAATAAATTATAGGTACCAATCACCACTTATATTTAATTCCTCAGAACAATCTGACTACTTTTACAAAGCTTTGTGCAAAAATATGAATGCAGAAAATACCTGGAAGGAGATATTATGCCTGACGGGTTTTCTGAGGGGATGCTTGATACTTCCGTGTTTTTTTCATTCGGAATGGAGAAAACAATTTTTCGGTCCATTCTATTCCATTTTCGTAAGAGAATTCTTCGTACCCGCGTTTTTTCGATTTCATCTCGAGCCTGGCTATTATACAAGTAACATGCACAAGTAGTTGAAATTGATCATACCACGTGAAGTGAAAGCAAATCATACCAAGCGTGCAAAAAAAATATAAAGTCGTGCAACTTTAGTTATTTGTTTAAAATAGTTTCAAAAATTTTGCAATTTGTCTTCATAAGAAATTAAATAATGAACATTTAAATTATTCGTGCAAAGAAAATATATGGTTAAGTGCATTAATTTACAAGCATATTATTACAATTTATACCTAATAAATTTATAATAATTGAAACTTACGATACAACTACTTGTTCCATTGGTTTAAATTGTTGTAATTCATCTTCTAATTCATTGACTCTAGCTTTTAAATTATTTCGTTCTGTTAGTATGTCTTTTAACTCATTAGTTGTAAATTTTGGTCGATCAGGGTCATCTAAGTCATATATAGCTTTATTTTTTAAATCTGGCATATCATTCTAAAATAAATTAATATTGAATAAATAATATGATTTCCAAAGATTTTTTAACTATAAATGTTCAACATACTCTATATTTAGCGAGATCTTCATTTTCTTTTTGAGCCATACCATATCTTTGTCTTAAAGAAATAAATTCTCTTTGTTGTGATTGTAATTGTGCAAGAATATCAGCTCTTTCTTCAACTAAACTACGGCATTGCATTTGAGCAAAACGATGTTTACGTCGCAAATCTTTTAGAGTAGATTGTAGTCTTTCACTTTGAATGGAAAGCTTTAAAAAAAATTAATTTAATTTAATTTTAATTAAAGTAATAACTTAACTTACAGAATCAACTTCATTGCACTTAGAGGTTAACTCCTGGTCTTGTTTTCTAATAGTGTCTCTCATTTGGTCTACAGTACTACGTAGTCGTTGAAGGGCAACAGTGTCAATATCAGGACTTAAAACTTGAGCTATAAAATTTTTAATAAATTTAATAAAATTAACCTAAAAAATCTAACTGTTTTTTACATTTTGTTTCAACAATTTTATCTTTTTTGGCAGCTTGTACAGACTTAGTTAATTTATGGTTATCTTCTTGCAATCTAGAAACAGTATTCAACAATTCATTATAATCTTCTCGCCACTTTTCTTCAATTTGTTCCATTTCCTAAATAACAAAACTATAATATTTTAACTACAAATTATAAAATATTAAAAATTAAAATAATAAAAACACTAAAAATAATTGATACCTGTTCATATTTGAGTCTTTCTTCAGCTCGCTCTTGTTTGTCTCTTTCTAATTGTTGAATAGTAGCACGTAAGTCTTCAACAGTTGTATTTTCACGTTCATTTTTCAAAGCTAATACTTCCAATTGTTCTAAAGCATTAACTACTTTTGGCATAAGTCCTGTTATGGCATCTGTACCATAGGCATCCATAATACCTTCAAACTCTCGACCTATGTCTTGAGCTATGTCATAAACATCTACTACAGATAAAGAGCACTTGTAAGTTTCCATTTTTGTAGAGCCCACGACGTTCAACAACATTCAGTAGAAATAAACTAAACGTAATTCTATATAATAATCTTAAAGAACAATTATTCTATTTTGGTAAATGGTTTTTGGATAAACCAGAAATTCAATAATCTCCAATGAGTTAGCTTCGTTTAATACATTGGGTAACAAAACATGAACAATTAATAAAAAGGAACAAACAATCAATGAACCTGTTGACCTTTAAATAAAATAACATTTGATAACAAAAATTGACAGTTTTTATTTATAGTTGACAAATGAAAACCTTGAAAGACTTGTTAGAAATTGAGTAAGGGTACATAGAAATATATTATACATAACTATTAACTGAAATTTTACTACAATTTAATATATTTATATAAAATTATGTCAAAACTAAGAGGAACGTCTTAATTCAGTAACACATCGTTGGTTATTACGCATGCTTGACCGTAAATTTAATAATCACTGATAATTTATGAGTATGAAGTGAGCAATTTCTTGCTAGCAATTTCTTATCAATTTAAAAATGCGGTAAGAACTTGGTTACCAGATACATGCCACTAACCGATGCCGTTAGAGGCCGCTATAATAACCCACGAATACCATAAAACAATTTGTTGTTCAAAATAAGCTGTTGCAAAAACAAATATATAAATGTACAGGTTTATCATGGAACACATTATTAAAATGCCATTTACTGTAAAAATAAAACCTCAAACATTTTATTAAATTCAAAATATATGTTCTCATTTAAAAAAACTTTAAATTAATGTTGACACCTTTACAAGACATAAGGGATGAACTTTAAAAGTATTAAATAGCTAATAATTTCAGAATAATGTGTAACTTAAGGTAACCAAAAATAAAAAAACATGTTTTAATTATTTATAATCTGTAATAATTGATTGGGCTATGATAAAAAAATCACTATGTATAATAGTTATAAATTCATAACCAATATTTAAATTAAAAAAAATTGTATGAAAAGTTTAACCTAATTTTTTGAAAGACAAGTTTAAAAGCTCAAAACAACAGGTTAAACTACATCAGTAATAATTATAGTATATATTACACACAACTGAACAATGCTACAAAGCAGTATACTAATATTTACAGTAATGAAAATGATTTACTCGAAGGTATTACTAATAGCCATAGTTTTTTTCGTTTTAAATGCTCATCCAGAACTTTAGAAGTCCTTCTAGAATATTGTGACATCAATTTGAAAATAATAATACTGTTTTCATCATTTATTGTGTTTAAATCATGAAAATCAACGAAAGAAAAACTTGATTTAAAATAAAGAAACTCTTATTTAAAAAAAATTATAGATAACCAGCACAGTGGGGTCGCGGCATAGTGGAGACGTTGCATAAATGGGTCCAGTATAGATTTAATCTGACAGTGATTAAAATCACTATCATAAGAAACGCTTCGATGCAAATCTGAAGATAGTGTTTAGTTTTAAAAAATTGATGGATAATTACAAAAGTAACATCAACTTCTATTTCCTTAATTATACCCAGATTAGTAATTCTTTTAATTATATGTTATATAATTTTTTAAATTAATTATTTAAAAATTATTATTGATTTTGATTTTTAATATGTTAAAAGTAATAATTTTGAACCTACTTTTTATTGTCCTTTAAAGTAAAAGTTTTATAAAAAAAAAAAAAAATGAATTTATTACCATAACAAGTAGCTCAATTTGCAAGTTTGAAATTGACATTATTAAATAGATAAAAATGAATTTGTTAAGATTAAAATGCTGTCCGCAAATTTTATAATTACTATTTACAGTATATTTATCAGAAAAGTTAGATTTTTTTACATTTTTATCGTAATAGATCACTTAAANGAAATCACTATCATAAGAAACGCTTCGATGCAAATCTGAAGATAGTGTTTAGTTTTAAAAAATTGATGGATAATTACAAAAGTAACATCAACTTCTATTTCCTTAATTATACCCAGATTAGTAATTCTTTTAATTATATGTTATATAATTTTTTAAATTAATTATTTAAAAATTATTATTGATTTTGATTTTTAATATGTTAAAAGTAATAATTTTGAACCTACTTTTTATTGTCCTTTAAAGTAAAAGTTTTATTAAAAAAAAAAAAAATGAATTTATTACCATAACAAGTAGCTCAATTTGCAAGTTTGAAATTGACATTATTAAATAGATAAAAATGAAATTGTTAAGATTAAAATGCTGTCCGCAAATTTTATAATTACTATTTACAGTATATTTATCAGAAAAGTTAGATTTTTTTACATTTTTATCGTAATAGATCACTTAAATAAAAATCATAGTAATCATTTTTAATTAACTTTTGACGTTTAAAAAGATTCTACAATGGAAATATTCAGAATTTAATTAATTTTAATGATTATATATCTAAAAAAACCAATAAAAAAAAATTATTCAATTTAGCTTATTATAAAAATAATAATTATAAAAAAATAGGGCAGTATATTGCTCTTATAAGATATTTTAAAATAAAAAAAATTACAAAACTCAGGATTTTAACACAAAATAGCATATTTTTGAATATAGTAGCCATTTGCGCATAGAAGATAGGTCGTCGGAACAAATTTTTTTTTTTAATTTTATAGTACATAAAATAAGCTTTAATTTGACATATGTTTAAAGGACGCAGTATTTCCGGAACGTTTTCAAAAATTAAGTTGAAAAAGTTAGTTTTTGTAAAAAAGTTACTATTTTTAATCCCCCCCTGTGAGCAGAATAAGTGTTAGATTTTCAAAAAAATTATAACAAATGAAAAGAAATTACATTAGGTTTCAATATAAAAAAATATTATTTTGATTTGTTAATATTTGAAAAAGTTATGGCAGTTTTAAGTACAAAAAACATCTCGATAGAAGATGATTTTTATCGCAAACATTACATTTTTTTTAAAAATTTCGACAGCCATTTGCACTTAGAAGATAAGGTGTCGGGACAAATTTTTTTATTAATTTTATAGTACATAAAATAAGGTTTAATTTGATATATGTTTAAAGGACGCAGTATTTCCGGAACATTTTCAAAAATTAAGTTGAAAATTTTAAAATGGAATTTTACATATTATTGGTACTGTTATACCCAAATGTTGAAGTTCAGATTCATGGCCATTATGATTTTATAAACTGTAGTAAAAGATTATTCTCCATCAAATAGCTCCAAAAAAACAATATGACTTGTACAATTAAAATTAATTTTCTTGGTGCCTCGAAATTTGGTTGATATATTTTTAATGTCTTTCTTTCTATACTTACCAGATTACCAACACTCATAATAACTTTTACTATCAATTTTACCACTTTTTTTTCTATGTTAAGTGCAAACTCTTCTTGTTTAAACATTAATTTCGAACTTAAAAATTCTATGAAGGAAAACTTATAAGTATACCAAACAACATAAAATCTTCTTTTAGCTACCTAAACATTTAAATAATTCAAATGAAATAATATTTAAAATTTAGTTTCAAGATTGAATTGATTTTAGGAATTATAATTAAGAATATGATTTTTAATTTTTTTGACCAATAATCAATTATTTACTTATTTTTTCATTAATATATTATAAAAAATATGAACTTTTATCAGTATTATATTTAGAGTATATAAAAAAGTTGATTTTTTCCGAAAAATAGTTATTAAAAAAATGTTACATAAGTTTTTCATGACTATTACCATAAATAAAATATATATTAAAAATAAATTTATTAATATTTATAATTTTTAAACTTAGTAACATAGTTTTAAAGTTACCTGAAATATCAGAAAACTGAACAACTTCATTATTGATTGGCTTGCCGTGACATAGATTTTGTTTTCAAAAAATCAACATTTTTTTTATGAAAACTTATGATTGAGGCACATATTGCACTTGGAAGAATACAATATTTTAACTTATTACTTATAACAATATTTTCTAATTTGCGGACAATTCTTTTATGTCTAAAAAGAAAGTATCTTGATGAGCTCTTTCTTTCACAAATGTCACAAAATAACTCCATAATTTAATAACAATAGTAATAACTAGGCTCCACCCCAGACCCGGAGCCCTACGAGCCCGTAAGGCTCGTTTGGGCCGTCATCATAAGTAGACCACTGATTCCGGTAGGGGTAGCCGGCTACAAATTAAAGTAATAATGGAAAAAAAGGACATTAGGTCCTTATTTATTAGAAGTTGCCTAAAAAAATATTGATAGCGCTGGTTCAAGGGGGGCCCATATCTCCCTTAAATACACCCCTGGTATACACAAAAATTATTAATATTCTAATTATAATAATTGTGTTTATATTATAGAATAATTAAAAAAATTCAGCAGGTTAATATACGTGGAACTATGTAAAAAATTTAATTTTGATAAAAATATTGGTAACTGCGATTTAACGTTGGACAGCATAGTTGTCATAGATGAATCCCAATTTAAACGATAAACTCATAGACAAATAAATCATATATGAGAAAAAAAAGATTATTAATAATGTACTGTTCTGATAATGAAAGTACAAACTTATATAATTATAACCGTCTTGAAATTTATATATAACATATAATATTCCTCGATAAAATATAGTACTATGTGCAAATGTATAATAGTGTCCTAATAAAAATACATATTACACCATATAATTAAGGTTCATAATAAACGTATGAGCAGAAATGAATCACTGCGCATATTAAAAAATGAACGAATTGAATTAATTTTTAATCACATCTCAGGAATGTCATTGGGCGGGTCTGATGAAAATTTCAAACCTTAAGTCGTAAAACGCTGGCGTTAGCGAGCGTTTTTCTCGAAAACGGTCGAAATTTTAAAACGCTCGTGGACGAGCGGAAAAAATTTTCCGACCTTCGCCAATAATTTTCCTGGAGTCTGGTGACCGAGTAATTTCGTTGAAAAAAAAATTTTTGAAAATCCGAGCACGCTAAGTAATTTTCCCAGAAAAGCGTTTTTTCCTTGTTCTATTATATAATAAAATAATTATTTTTATTACAATTTTTACATAGATTAACTTTATACATTTAAAGTAATTTGTAAATATTAACTTTTAGTAACTATATATTTTTTTCCCAGAGAACAGAAGTTTCATTATTTTTTATAAGATCAATCATTATATAATATATTCTTTTGAAGAAATTTCAAATGATAAATATTGTAATATACACGGATAATCTCTAATCTATATTTGATATTAGTGATATAACCACCTCCAAAAAAATTGTATTGACCAGCAATTTTCTTAATTAAATAATTTTTTTATTTTATAAGATAATTAAATACATATATTGCCATTAAAAAAAAAATAAAGTTAACATTGATGAAGCCTTCAAGGGATCTATTTTCAACTAAGAGTGAAAACAACATCCAAATCAAAAGTAAATGTTTTATA